AAAGTTTGAAGTTTGCTGGTTTTCAAAACGATGCAATGACAAAATATGGGTTTCGCGTTTGTTTGATAGCGACAATTAATTTTGGCGTTTGATTGATGTCTTGCTCGGTCAAGAAACCATTTTGGTCGATTTACTCGACCAAGAATCTTGCTCGGTTAATCGAAAAATTTGATCGATCAATTGCACCACTACTCAGCGGATACGGATGGTGTTGTATAAAAGACATTGACCTCAATACTGTCGTCATTTAAAAAAGCGTATATGCAATTTTTCCAACTTTACAGGGAGAGTAAAAAAACCCACCCTCAATGTTGTTACCAATAAAACATTTGCTTTATGATAATAAGGAAGCTATCATCAAAATTGTATTCTTTAAAATTATATTGACCTGGGGTGTTTGCAAAGAGTTAGTTTTCTTGTTAGGGCCTGGAAATATTCAGGGTTTTTGTTTGTTTTTGGTTTTGGTTTTCTCGTAAAATGATAGAAACTGCAAATGCGATATTTTAAAAATGACAGAAGAATACTTGTATTTGTATACTCCTACGGATAACAATAATATATGGAATTTCGTGCCGCTTCAGATATCGCTCGATAGCAGTGTCAAATAGCCTGTACGCTTGTGAAGCAAATGTGGTGAGTTATTCATTTCGAGCTTCATCTGTTTCCTTTACATCGAGCTGTGAAGTTGTATTCTCAGAGCTCCGGAAAAGTTGTGAAGAGGGCCAGCCTTGTGTAGCCTACAATCACCAACAGGCCTATCCGTCAAGGTATGTTTTACCTCATGTACTAATTGATTGGATATTGAGACAAGCGAAGATCCATGGACCAAACAGGGAACACTAACATATTATCAAGATAAATAGCATGTATGTATGAGCATCGCTCACCTATTGCTTGTAGATATATATGGGGTTAATCCACAAAATTTACACATACAAAATTCCACAGGGATTGTAAGTTGGTAGTTGGTGGGTGCTCTGGTGTGGTTTGCTCCTTCCTTCCTACCAAACATCTAAATCTATCGTTCTTATCCTTCCTCCTTTTTTGTGTTTGTTACTTTCGTGCAACACCTTTAATCTTGGGCACCTAGACCTATATGATGACCTCATTGTGTTGCAAGTGCCATAAAACTCTTACAAAAACAATCAACAGGGATAATTATAAATTTTATTATTTTCTATAGATGATGCAGTCTCGAAGAACATTCTTTGGATGCACTTCAACAACATGCTCATTTCAAGACAGTTTAGACTAAGACCTGAGAGGGTTTACAGTAGTATTACTGTAAACTCTCTGCTAAGACTGAAGTCATAACAAGGACAAAATGTAGATCTGGTTCATAAAGTATGGACAGGCAAGGACCAGGAAATTAAAATTTGACTCATTAATCGTGGTGCGTGGGGGGAAGTGGCAATGAAGAGAAGATTGAGGAAACGATCAGTTCTATATTAATTTACAAACCAGAACACCAACCAGACATCAGTGAACTTTCTGGGTCCAAAGGTTCATGAACTATATTCTTTCACCTCTACTAACCGCATTCGGAAAATGTTGCACCCCCCCCCACGGGCCTCCACACTTCCGGTTGTATTAGATTGCACCACAGAGAGAGTTTGCAATATTATTACCAGACTATTACTATAAAACTCTGATTATACCAGTCATGGCACTTTTCATGATTCCCCTCTGAATGACCCACTTACCGACCTCCCAGTACACCCATGACCCACATACCAGTCTTTATATAGAATAATGCCTATGACTGGTTCGATGTACCAACGTTTAACAAAATCACTTTCTCTCAGTGCTTGTTTAAACGTAAGAAACACTCTTTTTTAAAGCGTATATTATCTTTTTACCCCCCCCCCCCCCATCGAAACGATTTAGATGACATAGGAGGCGGGCTCTCGAATCTGCCTGTCTGTCAGGGACAACCCGAGCTGACAGATACAACGTACCCGCAAAAAGAACGAGAGATACACGTATATACTCGACAAACATTTTTCCCCACTGGGGAATCGAACTCGGGTGTGACAACGAAGTGTCTAACCGCTGCACCATAGACACCGGCAAACATCATAAAGGGAGACGGCATGGTGCCGGCAACAGATTGTAGAAAGCAAAGCACAGGAGCGAACCCAAACCCTTTGTCTGCCTAGCGAGAGAGGCACGCGGCCGCAGTAGATGTGTTTAAGTGACAGGAGTAGGGTGTCAGTCAGCTGCTTTTGCTTTTTAGAATAAATTGGTGGATGTTTTCTTACTTTGTTGTAAAAACATCTTTAATGAACAATATATCTTGTCACCCATATGTTCACCCTCCGCCCTTGCTTGAGGGGAATTTCAGGTTGGAAGAAGTTCCTTCCCCCTGTATGGACGCTATTGTAAAAAAAGAAGAAGCCAAAAATGAATATTGGTTCTTTCATGTCCCCATGGACACAATTTAGAATAGTTAAGAGGCAGGTGTCTGGTTCTATTGCAAGGGCCAACCTGGGCTGAGAGGGATACAAGGGAGTCAAACTCAGGTATTCTGCATGCGACTGCGAAGTTCCCAAGCACTACACTCCATGCACCAGATGTTTGTTTCTAGATGAAAGAGAACACATTTTTTTAAAAAGCACCCAAGATGAGAAAGTAAACCCTATTAGTATAGTTGCATGTATGTTTTTTTCTGTATCTCTCCATCTTGCCTTTTAAAGTACGAAGGAATAAGCTGTGCATCATAAGCATCCTCGGCTCTTCCAAGACGTTAGCCTATTGCATCTTAATCTTGTAACCCGTCTAGTTTTGTAGAAGTCGCTATCAGTGCAGCACATTGACCCCCCCCCCCCCCAAAAAAAAAAAAAAAAAAAAGAAAAAAGAAAGGAAGTCCGTTTCTCCCCTCGATCCGACCCATTTTTCTGCAAGCCCCCCCCCCCCCCCCCCCCCCTTTCCCCTTCCATACATCACTACGCCACTATAAGGGAACACGTAAGAATTTCGTGCGTGATAATCCAAGCAATTCAGGAACTTCCTTACCTGGTGTTTGATTTTCCCTTTTCAGAAGCGACAGTCTTTTCAAAGAGCAGGCCTTCAAGAGTGCGTGCAACTCTCCTAATAAAATGGCTTCATTTGTAAACGCAGAACTTCTGGAAAGTGCTCGCAAGAAACTGGACCTGCTTAACTCAACTCTTTTCGACGGTGTTCGGTTTGCTTACTACAAGGGCCTCGTGATGAATGTGGAGGAAACGATGCATCATATTTCTAAAGCTAAACTACACGATAATGACATCATCTCTTGTGGCTAGCGTTGGGTTCTCTAAAGAGCACTTAGAATTTCGTTTCCTGGATTCATGAACACCAAAGTCGACGAAAAACTACAAGCGATTGTGGGACCTAGAAGAATCATAACAAGCCATCTTCCGCCAAAATTCCTGCCTGAAGATATTTTCAGGAAGCAAGTGAAGCTTGTGTACATTATGAGAAATTCCAAGGACACGCTGGTCTCGTGGTATGACATGGCCTCCAAGTACGAACAAGACACTGTGCGTTTTCAGGGAACTTGGGAAGAATTCTTGGAATTGCAGGTAAAGTTTCTTTCTCTGTCTCTGCCTCCGTCTGTCTGTCGGTCTGTCTGTCTCTCCCCCCCCTCTCTCTCTCCCTCTCTCTCTCTCTCTCTCTCTCTCTCTCTCTCTCTCTCTCTCTCTCTCTCTGTTAAGATATGAAGACATGCTGGAGGATGTGTTGGCTGACAGGCTGTTACCGAAATACAGTTGACACGAATCTTCCCTACATAATTATTATGGCTCTGTCCTAAGTTAGTGCTAAAAGTGTGGCAAACTCTTTTCTGCCAAAATTGGTCTCAATCGCTGACGCAGAAACCACGAGTAATCTTAATATACTTATTTTGCCTCCTTAGCTTAAGAATCTTTCTCTTTTACAGAAGCGTTGGTCATCGGATATTGTTATATTATAATGTTGTGGCCAGACACTTAGTTACTGTCCTGGATGAAACGTAGAATGGAGTCCACTTAAACTGAAATCTACGAGATCGCTGAATTATCTTCGGGTTAACTGGGTTTTCGGTTAAGGTATATTGCTCAAATAGAAAGGGACAAAATCATTGATTTTATTTTCTTTCAATTTACTGCTGTTTTTAGATATACAATGTTCGGTTTGAGCGGACTCCGTTTTCTTCTGTTCTTTGTCTCCAGCTGGCCGGCGAGTATCTGTGGGGTTCGTGGTTCGAGCACGTCCTGGCGTGGGAGAAGTTCATGTCCGACAACCCTGAGGTGCCCGTGTTTGTGGCGCAGTACGAGAAGCTGAAGGAACAGCCTGCTGACGTCATCAGGGACCTCTGTCGTTTTCTGGGTCAACCGGACACCCTGGCAGAGCAGATAGCCACAGCAACGTCTTTTGACAACATGAAAGCGGGGACTCAAAAGAAAAGTAAAGATGTATTTGAAACGTTCTTTAGAGAGCACGTGGGCATTGCAGGTAAAGGATTAGTAAAATCTTGGAAAACCAAGTTCACTGTAGATCAAAGTGAGAGATTCAACAGAGCTTTTGAAGAGAAAATGGCAAGAAGTGAGCTTGGAAATAGCCTAAGAAAGTATATTTATTGATGATTTTGATGAGTATAAACTGTAGATTTTCTGAACTGGTTCTAAGTGGATAGTAGACGTATCTTAAGCTCTCTTTAACTTTACACGCTTGTAGATCATGATCATTAAACATAGGCCTACGTTATGTATGTAGATCATGATTATTAAACATACTTCTTGTAGATAATGATTATCAAACATACTTTTCATGTTGTTCTCACACTATTGTCTTCTAGTAAACGGGGTAAGCCTTTTATTCACGTTGAAACTTATTCTGTGCCTTCTCAGACGACTCATAATGTATAAGTAATTCCAGTGAGGACAACACTTTGTGTAATCGTGACGTAACACAATCTGGACACTTTAATGAAATGTGCGCATGCACATTAACTATACTGTCGTCTGGTCATCGTGCAGCTGATATTGTATTATTTTGCTGGCCTGTCATTATGGATTGCATGTGGTGTTTGTAAGAATGAGAGTGCATGGCAGTATATGATACTTTTGTTCTTTTATTATCTCTTTGCTTATAAATAATAAGCGTGTTCAAATATTGTGTTGAAATCACTTCATTTTTTAAATTAAGATATGGATTTTGAGTGTTTTAAAAGAAGCAAGGATACACTATTATCAAAAGTCCTTAAAGCCATTGAGGACTTTTACTTGCATGTATTCTACACTCCCGTTGACACCATTTTATTATCGTTTGCCCGGATACGTGCCGCTTTGCCCCTGTCTGTCATGAGCTTAATCAATGTGGATTCAATGTACAACATCCCACCAGAAAGATGAGGATACTCGATAAAATGTTTTGTACTCTAAATGAAGAGTTTAGCTGTTACACCACAGACACTCCAGTGGCGGAGTGGTTAGTGAGTTCAGACCAAGGAGATTATGTTTAGTACTGCTAGAGTTCGTGGCAGTTATGTCCCCTACGTAAAAAAACGGGGGCTGCGTGTGTTTACTCTGGGACGCTGAACCTCAAGGGCAAGACATGCGCAGTTCAACAGACTTCCTCTGACGGCTCAGTACTTTTCGAGACATACACAAGGAGGCGTCTCAGTGGTCTTGGGGGAAAACCTATTACAAGCTTGCACTGAAATTAGTGAAATATGGGGGCAGGGTGGTGTTTACTACACTACAGCTCGCGGGGAGCGTGTGGGGGGCTCAGATTGTTCAAGTAAATGAGGGCTGGCCGGCGATGCCGATGGGGGAAAGAAGGCCCCCCATGTCTGACACGTGTGATGTCATTGCTGCGAGCTCTAGTATTACGATAGATCAATATAACATCTTTGGTTCAGACTCTCAAATACCTGGATATCTCTGACTAGGAGTAGGAAGTTGACGTGTAATGACCCTCCATCTTTCACAGTCGTTGACTGCCATTGCACATTCTGCGATATCCAGGCCGGTTCACGTTTTTATGTTGTACATCCAAGTTACTCTTTGTCTGTCTTTCCCTGGCTCTTCTGCCTCACATCCTTCCTTCAAACACCTCTTTCACAATGGTCTCGTGTCGTTTTAAGTGGCCATCGTATTGTATTTTCCTACTTTTCATTTTTTCCAGCTGGGTTGGTCTTGTGTGGAGAATTTGACACACCTCATTGTTCGTCTTTTTTGCTTTCCAACTTATTCTGGCCATTCTACCACATTTCTAATCATTTTTCAAACGCGGACGTTTTTTGTCTTCTTTCTTTGTCAAAGTCCAGGTCTCAGCGTCATATAGGAAAATGGGGAAGCTGCAGCATTCAAGCAAGGTCTTTCTTAAAGTGAGAGATAGTTGCCTGGACTCACATGCCAAGCAAGTGACGGTGACACGAGGTTTGAGGGGGGGGGGGGGCACTGGGGTGTGTCCTTGAGAAAGACACAATAACTTTAAATGAAAACATTACAAAACCAAAACCAAAATACATGTACAAACAAAACAAACAAAATACACCCCCAATCACTGGACCCATTCGAGACGCTTTTTGAAAATGGAAATGTTTTACGGCCTTCGCTACACGATTACAATGTATGTCAGATAAGTGCCGAAGACAAGAGGTAATACAACAAGAGAGTAGCAAACACAAAAAAGAAATAGAGGAGAGAAGGGCGACAGATGTTTGATAGAAAAATAGAAGTAAACCACACCAGAGCACCCACCAAACACGCATATTCGAGATGCTCTGGAGAGTGTTCTGCACTGTTTGACTTACTGCACAGTTACATCTATCTTTTCCGGCATTTGTTACCTTGAGGTATCAAGGGGAGAAGCATAGGTCTTTCTCTTGTTTGTTGTATCGCTTGTTGCCTGGTCATGTTGTTCTTGACTAATGTTTCTGTGATCCCGTCTGTCCATCTTTTCCGGGGCCTACCCCCTCATCTGTTTCCATCTGATTTCTCGTTGTGTGCTTTTGCTGCTATTTGCCTGGCTGTCTGGTTGTAGCCTTGGAATTTTTTTCTTACAAATAAGTAAAGTGCATTAGCCCTGAAGTGCTTCGTTTTGAGATAGACCTAATCAAAGAAAAAAAATGTTCTTATCATTTTATTTATTATTTTATGAAATACAGATTAAAAAGTACTTACAGTCAAAAAGGAATTGTGTAGGTGTGTGTGTGTGTGTGTGTGTGTGTGTGTGTGTGTGTGTGTGTGTGTGTGTGTGTGTGTGTGTGTGTGTGTGTGTGTGTGTGTGTGTGTGTGTGTGTGTGTGTGTGTGTGTGGGTGTGTGGGTGTGTGGGTGTGTGGGTGTGTGGGTGTGTGGGTGTGTGTGGGTGTGTGGGTGTGTGGGTGTGTATGTGTGTGTGTGGGTGTGTGGGTGTGTATGTGTATGTATGTGTTGTGTGTGTGTATGTGGGGAAGGGGGGTGTGGGTGTTGGCTGCCAGAATATAAAAAGCTTTTCATTTTGAAATGACTTTGACTGTGTCTACTTGGGCGATTGATTTAACAGTACATCGACTGGAATACCTCAACTTGAGCAGACACTGCAGCAGACAAGTTTGTATTCACTGAACACACACACACACACACACACACACACACACACACACACACACACACACACACACACACTCA